TTTCATACCATTCTACACTTCGAAAACTATTTTGACAAAGTATTTGATTCGAAATTTGAAATCTAAACAAAATAAAATACTGAAATGTCTAATAGATGTCCAAGATTATAGGCAGTGCTTCCCATTGGCTGTGGAGGGTCTCTTCCGTTTCAAATGTTTATCCCATTGAAGGAAGATATACGGTGATTTGACAGAACCAGTCGTACAGCCCATAACTGACAGTCATTCGGAATACCCAGTGTAAACATTTTTGACGTTTAATGATTAGTTCTAAAACACATTCCAACTGTCATTTTCCCAATCTGGTAAGCAACGCTCTGATTGGTCAGATGATAGGGGATCTGTAATGGGATGTCGGCAGAACTACTTAGTGGTAGCGAGAACTAAGATCTGATTTTAATGAGATTGTGAAATTCTTGTACAGGTTTCATAAAAATGAGCCAGTGTCTGAATGATCACATCCAAAAGAGGGAGAGATATGACAATCGGTTGTCGGAGAAAAGGTACAGATAATCAACGTGAGGAATCGTGAGGAACACCAAACTTAACCCACCTGTTCGTAAAATGGACTTCTCCGACATTTCTGAGTGTATTCAGGGAGTCATCATTATTAAAATACAGGTAAATATTTTTAAAGCTTGTGCATTTTATCAACATTCTAAATTAACCTGTACATAACGTTGACATCGCATATAAGAAATAAACGACCTGTGGTAGTTGTTTATCAAACAAAATCTACATTCTATGATTGGTTGGTTGGTTTGTTGTTTAACGCCGCACTCAGCAATATTCTAGCTATATGACGGCGGTCTGTAGATAATCAAGCCTGGACAAGACAATCCAGTGACTAATATAATGCGCATCCATCCACTCAATTGGGATACGATGACATGCATCAACCAAGTCAGTGAGTCTGACCAACCGATCCTGTTAGTCGCCTTATACGACAAGCATAGTCACTTTTTACGGCAAGCATGGATTGATGAAGACCTATTCTACCCCAGATTTTCACGGGTCTAACCATTCTATGACATATGTTTGTCTAGATATGTAGACTTGTCAAAAATGAAACACATCAAAAACAAATGCAACATCTTGAATGGACGGTGTAAGATGTGACGAATCGTCACATGGTGCTGGCCTGTGGCAGAGGTACATGGCCACATGAAACTCTGGGTAGGAGGTTGGATAAAGCCAATCAGCTGATCAAAGATGTCAGATCCAGTGCTGGTGATCATTTGATTTATTTTGAATTTTCGTACATCACTTTGATTGATAGACAAAAATCTGTTATTAGTTCTATTTTAGCATTGTTTTGTTTGGAAACAGGCCACTTACTACACATGAATGTCAATATGAGTTTTGAATGTACATGTTTTTGATGTATTTTTTATTATTTATTGAATACCAAAATTATTATATAATTTGACATGACTGTCAATATGAGTTTTGAATGTACATGTTTTTTTTGGTTTTTTTATTATTTATTGAATACCAAAATTATTATATAATTTGACATGAATGTCAATATGAGTTTTGAATGTACATGTTTTTTATGTATTTTTTTATTATTTATTGAATACCAAAATTATTATATAATTTGACATGACTGTCAATATGAGTTTTGAACGTACATGTTTTTTTTGTTTTTTTTATTATTTATTGAATACCAAAATTATTATATAATTTGACATGAATGTTAATATGAGTTTTGAATGTATATATTTTTGATGTTATCTATTTATTTTTTATTTATTGAATACCAAAATTATTATATAATTTGACATGAATGTCAATATGAGTTTTGAATGTACATGTTTTTTATGTATTTTTTTATTATTTATTGAATACCAAAATTATTATATAATTTGACATGACTGTCAATATGAGTTTTGAACGTACATGTTTTTTTTGTTTTTTTTATTATTTATTGAATACCAAAATTATTATATAATTTGACATGAATGTTAATATGAGTTTTGAATGTATATATTTTTGATGTTATCTATTTATTTTTTATTTATTGAATACCAAAATTATTATATAATTTGACATGAATGTCAATATGAGTTTTGAATGTATATATGTTATTGATGTAATCTATTTATATATTTATTATTCAAGGACTATCAAAATAAAATAATGACATCAAACAGTTACTTTTTCACATAATTGCTGTTCAAATAGAAGGTAATCAATAAAGATTGATCAGTTACACTGTGCTGATGCATTGATCAATATCTAGTGTCTACACACACAATCATTGTGGAGGTGTAAACAGCTGTAATAACTAAGCATTAAAACAACTATCATCAATACGCAACCATGGAGGTATTTTCATTATTCTTTTGTGAAGTTGTTCTAAAATCATTCTAGAATGTAGAAATGTGTCATAACACAAAATTATTTAAATATCTCCAGTTTAATGTGAAACTACTGAAAATATGTATTTTATCAATATATATGCACCACACATTTACACATAACTTATCAAATTAGGCAAGGCATGACTTATCTTAAAACGCATTTGTCAACCCATTTTCATTTTTTTTATATCGACAATATATCTAGACGTATTGTGGGGGACACAATTATTTCAACAACAAAAAATCATCAGCATGTACATCACAGTTACATGAATCATCTCCCCTTATATTCCCCAGCCGCATCATACCAAAAGTCTGGCGCTCGGCATTAAGGGGCTAAAACAAGGACTAGTCGGCTCAGAGTCAGTATACTGTGTCTGAGTGGGGTATTCATGTTAAACTGCGGCATGGTATCTCAGTGTGCTAGCACTATAAATCGGCATCAGTCCAGACTAGTACAAGCAGCCATACAAACACAAACACACACACACAGACACAGACACGTGCATGCACGTCGCTATATAAGTACAATAATCTTGGATGTGACATTAAACCCCATTTCACCTTACCCTTTATATTCATAACATCCACTGATATATCAACAGAAGTTCAAATAAAAGATACTGAGAAACTTGCATGAGGTATGTTGCTAATCTACAACTGTTACTGGGGTGGTTGGGTAACCTAGTGGTTAAAGCGTTCGCTCGTCACGTCGAAGACCCGGGTTCGATTCCCGCCATGGGTACAATGTGTGAAGCCCATTTCTGGTGTCCCCCGCCGTGATATTGCTGGAATATTGCTAAAAGCAGCGTAAAATCATACTCACTCACTCACCGCAACTGTTCCTGGGACACAGGAGCATACAAGGTCAAACCGATTTAATAGTATGCCAATTACATGTTAAAGTCGAATTGTTGACTCATATTAATGTGACTGCAGATTTAATGTCGAGATTTGTGTTATCAGTATGTGACAGGCGAAGTATTTCCAAATGTACAGTTAATGTTTTGTAATGAAAGATTATCAGCAGCCTATTACCCTGTCAGTGACATCACATCTGGTGACCTTTGCACTTACTAAAATATTGCTGTCAGATTTCATGATCTTTGTTTTTGTTTTTCTCTCGTCATATTAAACGGCAAATGACAAATGAAACACTCTTTCATTCAGATGAAAGTCTTATGAAAGTTGGCTAAAGGTTAACACCACACACAGCACTATTCCAGTTGTATGATGGTGGTCTGTAAATAATCATAATAATAATAATAATAATAAAGTCTGGACCAGACAATCCAGTGGATGACATCATGAGTATGGATCAACACAATTGGGATACAAAGACATGCATAAAACCAAGTTAGCGAGCCTGACCACCCGATCCCGCAAGTCGCCTCTTATGACAAGCATTATATAAAGCTAAAAGACTATCAAAAGTCTCTGTCATCTGTCTATATCGTAAATCTACATTGTAAGCCTATGTTACGTAATGGGTTTGTTTGTTTGTTGTTTTACACCGCACTCAGCAATATGAGCTATATGACAGCGGTCTGTAAAAAATCAAGTCTGGACAAGACAATCCAGTGATTGATATCATGAGCATAGATCCACGCAATTTGGATTGATGACATGCATCAACCAAGTTAGCAAGCCTGACCACCCGATCCCGTTAGACGCCTCTTACGACAAGCTTAGTCGCCTCTTACGACAAGCATGTGTTGCTGAAGACCTATTCTACCCCGGATCTTCATATGGGTTTAATATTGCTCTGTTGTATACATGTACATATCATACCCATAACACAGGTGAAGACAATGAGTCTCACACAGACAAAGGAATATTTATATTGCAATCATTCAATAATCATACATCGTCTTATAACAAACAAAAATTCTTCAGACTCAAAGCAAATGTTTGTTTGTTTAGGCATTTTTACATTAAGTGGTGTACTATATACAAATCTTATTTTTTTAAAGATATATCAAAGTGATGAAATATAATACAACATTAAAAATTTGACTTTGCTTTTTGTGACAAATCAGTTGGATGACACTCTCCTTATGGCCTCTTTGAAGTTTGAAATTTTTAGACCCATAAAATGAAGAAGAAATTCTCAATGTCCAATCAAGATGCTCAAGTATCATGATAAACATCCTGGTATCAAGTTATGTCTGTACTGTCATTTCACATATAATATTCCTCCAAAGAGGAAGTGAAATCGCTTGTTTATTTGTCGCATCAGCATTTTCCAGCCAGCAATAGGAATGTGATTACCGTATTCGACGTAATAAGCGCCCCGCTCTAATAAGCGCCCACGGCGATAGTTGTTAATATATTGGCTAGCGAACAATCCCAATTAGCACCCCATTGATTGTGTTATTTATTCGTGTATAATACGCACTTGTGTGTTATATGCACCCTTAATTTTGGGCAATTAAATTCTGGAAAAATATATCTGTCGTATATAAACATTTCAGGCTGTCAGCATAAACCACGAAATTTATCTTTCAACTTTTTTTCCACCAAAATAATATTCTATAAAGAGCATTTTGATCTAATTTTGAGAGCGCCCTGGGCGCTTATTACGTCGAATACGGTAACTCCCGACTACCACTGCTATAGATTCTCACCACCTACCTGGCGACTGCTTCGCTGTAGACGAACCCTGCCGATGCCCGTTTAACGACTTCGAAACATAGATCAGCACCATCCATACTGAAATGAACAAGTCAAAAATAGAAATCATATTTCATCATTATCACCATTCTAAGAACTATCTGATTCTGCCTCTCCAAGCACTTCTTGCCAGTAGATGGCTGCAATATCAATGTATCAATATTTTCTCTTCTTATTCCAGAGGTGTGTCACAACACAACACTATGTTTCCTTTTACAAAGTTTACATCACCAAGGTGAGGCGAGGTGGGGTTTAACATCACATCCAAGATTATTGGATATATAGATGTGCATGCTTGTATCAGTCCGAACCAATGCCGATTTTATAGTGCTAGCTCACTGAGATACCATGCCGCAGTTTAACATGAATACCCCACTCAGACACAGTATACTGACTCCAAGCCGACGAGTCCTTGTTTTAGCCCCTTAATGCCGAGCGCCAGACAGGGTAACAACAAGTACCGTCTTTTTACGTCTTTTGGTATGACGTGGCCGGGGATCGAACCTTGGACCTTCCGCTTTCCGGGCGGACGCTCTACCACTAGACATGGAGGCGGTCTCATCACTAAGAAAATAATCCTTAAAGGGTGATAAAGCTTGGTCTATTCTGCAAATTAGAGACTCAAGTCAGTTAATGATGTTGTTTAATCTAGAATTTAATAGTTGCCCTAATTAGACAGAGAAACAACGTTAATTACAACGTCAAGGCAAATGTTGCAGCTGTCTATGGGGCAAAGTGTTTTTTTCAGGTTTAATCAAATCCTCAATTCTAATTCAGCCGTTGCTCAAGTAGAAGCAGACTACAAGAACAAAGGGAGATACACGTGGGTGAGTGAGTGGGTGGGTGGGTGGGTGGGTGGGTGGGTGGGTGAGTGAGTGAGTGAGTGAGTGAGTGAGTGAGTGAGTGAGTGAGTGAGTGAGTGAGTGAGTGGGTGGGTGGGTGGGTGGGTGAGTGAGTGAGTGAGTGAGTGAGTGAGTGAGTGAGTGGGTGTGTGGGTGTGTGGGTGAGTGAGTGAGTGAGTGAGTGAGTGAGTGAGTGAGTGAGTGAGTGAGTGGGTGAGTGAGTGGGTGTGTGGGTGTGTGGGTGGGTGGGTGGGTGGGTGGGTGGGTGGGTGAGTGAGTGAGTGAGTGAGTGAGTGAGTGAGTGAGTGAGTGAGTGAGTGGGTGGGTGGGTGGGTGGGTGGGTGGGTGAGTGAGTGAGTGAGTGAGTGAGTGGGTGGGTGGGTGGGTGAGTGAGTGAGTGAGTGAGTGAGTGAGTGAGTGAGTGAGTGGGTGTGTGGGTGTGTGGGTGAGTGAGTGAGTGAGTGAGTGAGTGAGTGAGTGTTATGCGCTTTTAGCAATATTCCAGTGAGTGAGTGAGTATGGTTTTACGCCGCTTTTAGCAATATTCCAGCAATATCATGACAGGGGACACCAGAAATGGGCTTCACACATTGTACCCATGTCGGGATTCGAACCCGGGTCTCATGCCGACAGAACGTTGAACCACTGGCTACCCGACCGCCCCGAAAAGTCAAAATGAATGCTTAAATGAAAGTCAGAATGAAAGTCTCCTGTGCACTGTATTTCCCTGTGTTCTCGTAGCCTGCTTCTAATTGCACAACGCCTGAATTAAAATCGAGTGTTTGACAAAACCTGAAAAAGAACCCATTTTGTCTCCCCAGTCGTGTAGTCACAAAGACTCGAGAAACCTGTCATTAGGTGTGTTTCAAGCAGAAGGCTGCAAGCAGCTTCATTATATCGGCAACAACAGGATTCAGACGAACATTAGTTATCCTCGACCAAACAACCATTAAAACCAAATTGGGACATGCAAACTTCTTTGAACAAAATGAGCAGAAAATATGATCATTATGCTCGTGTGACTATTCCAGGAACATTGGTCCTCGGAAGCTGGCTTCAGGTGTCTCGCGTCTCCGCCATTTTAAAAAGCAATTTTCTTTCCAGTAATCTGTTAATTGTTTATTGGACCTTCCTTTTTTGTTCAAACTTCAGACTAAGCCACAAAGACATATTTTACTCCTTCATAAAATACGAACAGTCAGCAATTTCCAATTTCCAAATTCAAATTCCAAAGGTAAGCGATATAAAGCTCTAAGTCTTTTGCAAGTTTTTGAAGTCATGGAAGTTAAGTCAGTGAAAGGGCCAGCATATATAACACCAAGACTATTGTAAGTCTATGCTAAGGGAGGACCGCCTCCGTGTTCTAGTGGTAGATCCCCGGCCGCGTCATACCAAAAGACGTTAAAAGATGGTACTTGTTGTTACCCTTTCCGGCGCTCGGCATTATGGGGCTAAAACAAGGACTGGTCGGCTCGGAGTCAGTATACTGTATCTGAGTGGGGTATTCATGTTAAACTGCGGCATGGTATCTCAGTGAGCTAGCACTATAAATCGGCATCAGTCCGGACTAGTACAAGCAGCCACACAAACACATACACGTACATGCGCGTCGCTATATAAGTGCAATAATCTTGGACGCGACGTTAAACCCCATTTCACCTCACCTCACCTCACCTCACCTCACCTATGTTAAGGGAGAAAGTAGAGACAATTTATGGACAATAACTTCTTCATTTAACTGTCATGGCGATGTTTCTTTAGTATTTCTTTATGAATTCAATCAACCAGCCGGTGATATATGAGCAACATTATGAGCAACATAATAACATATTCATATATACAAAAATACAACGTGATCAAATGGCAACAGTGGTTAACTTTAGAACAGAGAGTATTTTACAAATTTAGATAGTTTTTTAAGATTGCAAGCTCTCATATTTGACATCAAATGCTTCAAGGAAATAATGTAAGACCAGTTTAGATATCTATTATCAATTAATGTTTTTCTTTGCTGGTCAAAATATTCACATCTAAAGAGGTAATGGAACTCGTCGGCTATGGCTGGGGAGGTGCAAAGCTTACATGTGCGATATTCGCCTGGGATGCCCCCCCAGCGGCCAGTCTCTATCCGCAAATTGTTACTTAGGGTTCTGAATTTTCAGTATAGGTCATTATACCATTGTCAAGCAAGGCTGCTAAGGATCTATACTGAAATGTAGCCATTACAGTAAAATAAAGAAGTTGTTATCCAAAAATTGTGTCTACTTTGTCATCTGTCAACTTCTAAAAAATGTTGATCAGAAATATTTATGCTCAGGGAGTCATGACAGTCACAGGGAGAAGGCATAAAGCTAAAAGACTATTAAAATTCTGTGTCATCTGTCGATATCGTAAATCTACATTGTAAGCCTATGTAACATTATGTTTGCATGTTGTTTAACGCCGCACTCAGCAATATTCCAGCTATATGACAGCGGTCTGTAAATAATCGAGTCTGGACAAGGCAATCTAGTGTTTGACATCATGAGCCTCGATCCACGCAATTGGGATCGTTGACATGCATCAACCAAGTCAGCAAGCCTAACCACCCGATCCCGTTAGTCGCCTCTTACGACAAGCATAGTCGCCTTTTACGGCAAGCATGGGTTGCTGAAGACCTATTCTACCCCGGATCTTCACGGGTCGTTAAGGAGTAGGGACAGTCACAGCAGGAAAGTCACTTCATTGACAAAGTACAGGAGTATACATAAGACTGTTGGAATACTGGATTGTAACAAAGTGACTACATATGGGAAAATCGAAAAGTCACTGGAAACTAATTTGAAATGTTACAACCCTTGAATATAGACAAGTGCATGACGGTTCACTCGTTTAGCTTGCTACTGAGATTAATAAACATACCAAACAATGGGGGCCAGTGCCCTCGCAGTGTTGGGTTCATCTTGACATCATTGTTTTGTTTGTTTGTTTGTTTGTTTGTTGCCCAACACCGCACTCAGCAATATTCCAGCTATGACTGGACCAGACAATCCAGTGATCAACACGAAGTGTATCGTTCATGCAATTGGGACACAATAACATCCTCCAACCAAGACAGCAAGCCTGACCACCTGATCCCGTTAGTTGGCCATAACGACAAGCATGGTTTCCTGAAGACCAATTATATCCCGGATCTTGACAGGGAATGTTGACATTAAGTGATCTCCAAGGCTGGTCACCATACATCAATAGCATAACCAGTTGTCGACAAAATGTGGGTGGACAGTCAATACTATCTACATGTGCGAGAAGACATTTAGTGTCTACATTGTCAGAATATGTATAGAATTGATTAATTAGTCGTTAAAAAGATCAGCAATGTTTTACCGTAAATTCACAAAAATGATTCACAGCGTAACAAAAACTAGAAATTTCAAACTATTAATTTCCAGTACATTTGACAGCAAAACTAATTGAGACACAAGGCTTAAAATTCAATCTATTTAATAGAATATCACTGATATTCCCAAGTGATTCCGATGAAAAAAGCTTTCAATTATCCTGCTGCTGAAACTGGAGCTGATGAAACATATGATGCAACTCTGAAATCATTCGCACAAACTCCTGCTTATTAGCCTTCAGATTTTGATTGTTTACAGACACATGGACAATTCTAACATGTTTGATTTCACTACCCACAAAAGGATCTTGAAAAAAGAGGCATATTGTCAACACTTCCAACAAGGTTAGTTTGTTTGTTGTTTAACGTCCTACTCAGCAATATTCCACCTATATGACGGCGGTCTGTAAATAATGGAGTCTGGACCAGACAATCCAGTGATTGACATCACGAGCATCGATCCACGACATTGGGATATGATGACATGCTACAACCAAGTCAGACAGCCTGACCACCCGATCCCGTTAGTCGCCTCTTACGACAAGCATAGTCGCCTTTTAAAACAAGCATAGTCGCCTTTTACGGCAAGCATGGGTTGCTGAAGACCTATTCTACCCTGGATCTTTATGGATCCTTATTAAAAGAAGGAAGACAAGTGCAAAAGTTCAGCTCCCTCAGTCTGACAATTGCTGAGAAGAAGTTACAGAGGCTAATAAGTTTTTTGAGACAATTTCTAAACATGGCCTAAATTCAAAACACTGCAAAAAATCAACCTGGAACTTATGTGTTGTATTACACATCCAACTTAAAAATACCAA